TAAGTGAGGTATTTCATTGCCATTCGTAAGGAGGATGCGGATTCAAATTTTCTTCTTCAGTTTCACCTACGTCGGTGTTCATACGAAATCTCGGCAGTAAAGATGTTGGTGGTTTCAGGGTCAATGATACCTTGAATGTAAGGTATCTGAGAAAATATTTTCGACGTATTGTATTTTTCTTAAACTTAGATGGTCGTCTAAAAACAGCTCCCACGAAAGGATCGTCTTACGAAATCTCTGCGAAAGTGATCTCTTTTGATTGTTACGATTTAGATGCACAAGGCACTTTCAGTTTCCGGGTACGAGAAATTTCCGGCCGGAATACTGCTTCCATGATCGGGGTATTTTTCCGACCGGTTCCTGAAGGATCCGGAGACTGAAATCATCGAGCTGGGTCGGTACAATAATTAGTAGAGCAAAAAAATATATTTTTTAATAAATAACTGTTCACAATTAATTAAAATTAGCTCATAATAATATTGATACACAATGATTTTTTCTCAATTCTCAAACAGGTTTGTTAATTTTGTTTTTTGAGACAGGATGTGAAAGTGGATCTCCCAATATTCCCCCTAAACTTCATCGTCATCATTAACTATTGATATTTACATAATGAATGTTATGCAAGTCGAAACGATTCTGATTTATATAAAATAACACTTATAAATGGTTATGGACAGGATCAAATCAATGAAACTATTAAAATACTCAATAGATCAAGTAAATCAAAGAAATAAATTGTAAATTATTGGATACCGGTCAAAGTGAATTAATATGGAAACGATGTAATAGTGATGATGATTCCCTATTAAATGGTTATTGTATTGAAACGTGTGAAGAACGATGAGCTAGATCATCGGATGAAATGTGTCTAATGAGTATTGAAGAAAGGAAAGCAGTTGTTAAAAAATTAATTCATGATGCTAAGTATTGATTTCATGTTTGTGCAGAAAATAAATATTGTCGATCAGAACCACGTGAAACTATTGAAAGAATGTACTTATTCAGGATCCATTTGGTAATATATCACAATATGCTTGACTTTCACGATCCATTAAAAAAGTCATTTTTACCTGCAAAACTTGTCTTTTTAAGCGTCTCCACGTACCTTCCATGATGAAAGTCATTGCTTTTAGTATTTTCCGAGTGGACATGAAAATACTCAAACAGTAACTACAGTTAGGGTGTCTAAACACGTTTTGAGGAATTTCTTATCTGCTTGGAAAATTTTCTTCCGCATCAGAATACAATACTCAAGGAAATACAAACTCATTGTAATAATTAAAATCTTGGGTGTGGGTGAGTGCAGGTGTGAGTTCCAGTGAAAAGAGAATACTCATATCCATACCGATACCCATGTCCACATCCGATTCCGAAGAGTAGGGTGTCACTGTGGGCGTGGCTGTGGCCGTGATTAGGTTTTAGTAAAGTGAAGACCCACACGCACACATTTTCACCAACACTCTAGTTGTACTAAGTTTTACGGACTCTATTCTGCTGAGTCTGGTGGTCCATTGCTACTAGTAATATCAAATCTTGATCACTATTGAAGAGTTATATTTGAAATAAGATAGAAGATATTATAATACTAGCTATTGCATAATAGAAAAGTGCAATTGGTCTATAATCGTGAAGAGCAAAGTAGAAAGCAGATATTAATGATGTTTATATAATACTCGTTCATTAATTTGCTCAATACTTGTTAGACCACAACTAGCCATATCATACATCAATTCGTGCTTCAATAAATTAAGTACAGCTTTCACACCATCATGGCCTCCGCATGCCAAACCATATAAAATAGAACGGCCAAGAAGCACACCCTTAGCACCCAATGCTAAACATTTCAAAACATCTGTTCCCGTTCGAATGCCACTATCAATAAACACTTCGCATCGGCCATTAACAAATTCTACGATATCTTTCAAACATTCAATAGCTGAGAGTCCACTATCTACGTGACGACCGCCATGATTACTGTGAAGAAATGGTTTCCTAGTTTTAGAAACAAAACTTAATTCAGCCTTACCTGACCACGATTCCGTCAGCACCGTACTCTAAAGCTAATTTTGCATCGTCTACAGACAAAATTCCTTTACAAACTATGGGCAATTTCGTTAATGCTCTTAACCACTGAAATTCCTTCCATGTTAACTTTTCATCTGGTGTATATTCATCTAATCTGGGATTAATCTGCAGTTTATCATATTTAGTATTAGGTGTGTACATTAGTTCTGTCAATTTCGTATCTTGTTTCCGCTCAATCGCTTGAATAAATGCTGGTCCATGAACTGAACGTATTCGGTGGTGTGGATTATCGCATGTAACAACAATTGCTTTGAATGAATGTTGTTCAGCTAATAAGATGCATTTTTCAAGTAATGGTTTTGGAGATGATAAATAAACATGTAGCCATTTGGGACCTTATATAACAAAATAAAGTAGCGTATGAGTTAATTTATATATATGCATAAAGAATCAGCGGAATCTAATTAGAGACAAGAAATATGGGTTTAGTTTAACAGCAGATATTATAATATGCTAGGATTGGTCTGCTCATGTTGGAACAGCACCATCATTTTGCACAACACTGTTTAAAATGAGTGTTCAAGTATATAGCGACAAAAGCGACTTTCCCCATCCCTTGTCTGCCTCAACAACACGTGACAGACAGAATAGATTAGTTTCTTCACCGTCCGAACCCACAAAAAAATATTTTGATTTATTGAATAGTTACATCATTGAGGACGACATGATCAAGAGTGCAATGAATCCACTGCTTTTCTAAATTCCAATCCCGCAAGGATTACGCTGAAAGGTTTTTCTACTGAAATAGACTCAATATCAAAATCCACAACTAAAACAATCTTATAATATTAGATGGTTTTATTGGTCGTCAAGAACATCTAAATCATATTGGAGAAAGGCGAAAATCACATATATTCTATACGTCTGTCTCTGTGTCATGTCTGTGAAGGAGGACGGACACGTTTCATAGAAAAAAAGGGGCCAGGAACAGTTTCGATAATTACTGTAGCTAATCATTTAATACTTTTTGAAATTAATCTTCGTATTTGATAACGATTATCAATACTTAGATGACCTCTTGTACACGTAAGATTACTCGAAAAAAATAGCTCTTTACCTGAATTTTTCTTCAAAACTCAATAGTTCTTTTCAGGTCACGTTTTAAATTCACTTCTGAGCTTTGACTAGAAATGTTCGCATAAACTATGTTCACCGTGAAACTTGTTCATTCTCAAAGCCTCAAATTTTGCATTGCTTCTGTGGTGACAAACTAATATAAGGACAACAAGCTGGTTAGTGCAGCCCCTTTGGCGCTGAAATGTGAAACTCACATATTTTCTGTCAGTGACCGAAACGAGGCGGGGTCAAGTTTAAATCCCCAAACTTTCCTCGTGATAGTTTCACAACATAAATATTCATGTATAGACTATGTATTTGAATAACCTATATATAGACTTACGATAAGAGTCTCTGCGCAATCGATTATCTATTCAACACTTCGTAGAAATATAAAAGTTTTTTCTTAAATGTGAATTGTATCTATTGAATTCTGTGTTTATTGTGAAAGAGGAATAGACAAAGATTGCAGCAGAGACAATCAGCGACTATTGATAGACTGTTTTCTCCAAATTAGACTCTACTTAAAAGTTTGCTTAAAATGCTAAAACGGAGAATTGTATGTAGAATTTATTTATACACTCAGTTTTTTTCAATAAACATTTTCCATATCTTTGTGAAATCGGAATTTTGGCATGAAAGAATAACATGAAGCACTCAGCATCTCATTTACTTGAAGAAAAATAAAATTTGAGGTCAATCTAATTTGATAAAATTTGATTCCTCACATTCATCATTTTTTTGATGAGCCATTGACGTTTTTCTAGTATTCAGTAACTTTGATTTTACAAAAAATGCCTAATGATGATTTAACAGAGAACGTTTCGTGAAACTCGACAGAAAATTCTCTATCTCTTAACATTGATACCAAACTTATTTTTTGGTTGAGTCAAACTTGACAACAACAGTCTATCAAAAATCTGCTATGTTCTTTATCACATGCATCACTAGCGTTCATGTCTTCATCTAAACTGAAACGGCTACTGGTAGCAGTAATAATTCAAAAAGCAAAATTCTGTCGTTCTTGTGATGCATGACTCAGAAAGTGGCTTCGAACGCAACACTTGGTATTGAAATTGATCCAACAAAAAAGTTTCTTCAACAGTTAATGGATGACGAAGTGACAAAAACAAAGTTTACATTAATAAAAAAAAAGATGAAATTGATATTAATATCAATGTCAGATTTGACAAAGACTATCCAAATTCATACTCATTTTGACATGAACACGAAAGGGTGTGTGTTAACAAATAGAGAATCAGCACCGACACCCTTCCAAAATGAAGTCAAACAAATCGTATGACCAAAGGAACAAAAATATCTCATAGATACTTGACGAGATCGTGAAAAAAAACAATTAAGGTCGGGGCGAAGCAAGACGGTGAGCAAAAAATCTTCCCCACTTCAGGTTCTGTTTTCTATAACCTATAATACTCAACCACATTTAAAGCTCGTTGCTAAAGTCTTTAATAAAGTTAGGGGGAGCCGCCAAAACTTGAACTTAAACCTTACACTCACTATTTTCTTCGAAAATATATGTATATTCCACAAAATTTGGTTTTCAAACAATAAAATTGTCTGCATGTGTATATCATGACAGAAGCAACGGGAAAACTGAAACCTTAAAAAAGTGTCTAAATTGAGAGAATTATTTGTGCACATGTTGAAATAAAAACTGAAATGCCACTTTTCAATGTGAACTGAAGAGAAATACAGAACTTTGTTGAAAAACTGAGTAAAAATCTCAATGTAACAAGAAAGATGGTCTTGAAAGTCAAATCGTTCTAGAAGTTTCAACGTTCATCAGCACTCATCTAATGAGCATAGTTCCGATGCAGAAACTATTTAGCACCTGGACAGATTTTCTCATCGTATATCAACTTTTCCAGATGGAACCTTCAAAATTGGAAGGAATCCATGAATTATGCTCAGGAGTAGCTCTTAATCTTTATTTTACTTTTATAAAGTAAAGTAAAATGTTGTAATTCAGTTTGTTACTGATCTATTAGTTAAGTATCAAAGTTTGATAGCGCTTCGATATATAAGAAGAATTGAATATTATTAATGAAATATGTAAGCAGAAGTTGAAGTGACTTGAAATTAAAAAAGCAATTGTTTTTTTGTGCTGATAATTAAAAAAAGTTATTGCTTTTTCTATATTACGGATGCTTGTCACTAGACAGCAAGTATCTCGATTCATAAACAGAAATATCTGACCAATATTAAAAAGCTAAAAGAATATAGGAGAAGTAATGAGATTCATACTAGAAAATATGGAAATATGGTCGAAGAGATGAACATCATATGGATGGCGCTTTAGTTTTGCTGGAATAGCGATTAATGCAAAATGTTACTTGAAATAATTAAGAAACGACACTAATGTGAAATATAGGCATATTGCCTGTCTTATAGTTCTCTTCAAGTACATCTATCTTTGCACGAAGAAACAAGAAAGCTTTTTCTTCTTGTTAACAATATCTTTTCCCTACAGATGAAACTAGTAGCATCGAATGACAACTTGAAAATGAACCAATTCAGAGCCTAGCGTATGTAGTATAAAGTATAAAAACCGCGAATGAGAAAGCCGAAAAAAAAATTTTTCTCTTTCAACGAAAGTAGGACGAAAGATTGGTAGTTTTTTATCCCATGAAAGAGAAAGTGAATAAGTCTGATTATGGACGATATTTGTAATTATAAAAAATCAATTACAATAGCACTGTTACAAAAAAGTATTTAGATTTAAAATTATGAAAAAAAAAAATTTGAATTCATTTAAATCAATAATTCAGTACTATCGATTATTTGAAATTTTAAATCTGATTAAATTTGAATTATAATAATGCAGTTCTAGTCGATTTTCAAATCGTTTCAAAAATGATTGCAAAGAAATTCTTTCGACCTTTTTACATATGTACCGAGATGTTCATGCTCGATTCTACATGACCGTACTGCAACTGATTATAGTAGGAAAACAACATTTATGTGTAGTTGCCATTTACAACAACCACTGTAAACGATGTTTTACAAATCATTGAGGTCATTGTAAATAACAACCGTAAAAAGCATCTGTCAACGACCATCATAGCTACCCGATGACTGTATACGTTTATCAAATAGAATATCCTAAGGCATCGTATCCGTGAACTGTAAATGGTACCGTTGAGTGTGGGTTTCTTGTATCAAACTTCGCTGTAAACAGCCGTTGAAATGGGTGAACTGCTCGTATTGAATATGAGCAGCGTTTTTTCACGACCAAATCTAAATGCCACTAAGTTACAGTACTTGTCTATCAAGAAAGTCGAGAAAGAATCGTGAGCTGTTCG